CCCGCCAGCCAAAAGGAGCCGGCTGGAGGTGCCCGAGGACGACGGCCCGTTGGGCAGCGACGCGCTCGGCTCCCCTGGCGCCTACCTGGGCCCCCACGCGCACCAGCCGCCCCTGTGCCTGCCCTTCTACCTGATCCCGCCGTCAGCCACCGCCTACCTGCCCATGCTGGAGAAGTGCTGGTACCCGGCCTCCGTCCCCGTGCTCTACCCCAGCCTGCCGGCCTCCGCCGCAGCCCTCACGGGCTTCATGAACCCGGACAAAATCTCCCCGCCGCTGCTCCTGCCCCAGAGACTCCCATCGCCGGTGCCGGCCCGTTCCCCCATCGACTCCTCAGCACTGCTTCAGGCGCTGAAGCAGATTCCCCCTTTGAACTTGGAAACCAAAGACTAAGCACAGCGTGGCTCCTTGGCTTGCTCATTTTTTTTTTTTTTTTTTTCTTTAAGAAAAAAAAAAAGGCAAAAGTTTGAGACTGTTTCACTTTTATGTATCGGCTGGGCTGGGGGGGGGGGGAGGGGGTGGGTGTAGGAAGCTGGATCCCCTCTCCTCCGGCCTGTTGGGTAGCTTGGTGAAGGATGGAGGATGCGCCCAGAGTAGCTCTCCAGGAGGACTTCCTAATGGCAAAGAAAAAAAAAAAAAAAAAGGTTTTGTGCTTTACTCCTTCCCTCTCTGTGTCTGCAGGACGACGGTTGACTTAGTCAGCTCGGATTATCTTTCAAAGCTGTGAAAAATATTCCATGAGGCAGATTGAGACTTTTTAGGGTCTGTGAATTGAAGAACACGGTACTTTCCAAAGGGCTGTGGAGGCACCGGGCCGTGCACAGGGCCGTTTGGGTCTGGGGGCCACTTGGCCAAGCCCAGAGGAGCAGGCACTGGTGGCTGTTGCACAGGCAGAGATCAGGGAAGCCCCAGGTCCGCTTCTCTCCCTGCCTTTGCCAATACATATCTCTCTAGTTTTTAATAAATAAAAGGTAGCTGCTGCTTGGAAGCTTTACATGGCGTACATCTAATAACTAAACGAACACATGCCCCTTCCTGTAACTTGAGCTGCTAGTTTGGGCCAGGCAGGGGGACAGTGTCCCCTGGGTCACCCTGCTCGGGGCGCCTGTGCCGCAGCCTCTCCTGCTGCTGCCACACGGCCGCTCCGGCCCTTGCACGGGCCCTTTGGGAAGGGGGGAGCCAGGTAGCATTGCAGCCGCTCTGCAGCACGATGCCCTTTGAGGAAACAGCATTAGGGGTTTAATGCTCATCCTGTTAAACCGTACGCCAGGGAGGGGTCTTTGCGCCATGGGGAAATGTTATGTCCAGCCAGGCTTCGAAAGCACCCCAGGCTGCTGCAAATGCAGCGCTGGTTCTGCGGAGCTGTGTCTGGAGGGAGCATCCTCGCTCGGGGTTCCCATTTCATCCCCCCTGCGCCAGCTGTGGAGATGCACTATGCTTGATTGCAGGCTGTGTTCCAGCAGTTTTTCTTTTCTTTTTTTTTTTTTTGCATACAGTTGTTGCCTTTATTTGTAAAAAAATAAAAATAAAAAAATAAAAAAATCCTGTTATATAAATATATATTATATAAATATATTAAAAGGTAAAATGTTTCAGATGTCTATCAGATGTCTATTATTTGTATAACTACTTGAGCATAAAGAAGTGAGGAATATGAATGTATTCTTGTTTGGGGGGGTTGTCTTTTTTTGAAGAGCAGAATTTTATTGTTTTTTCTCTAGGGAGAGGTACAGTGTTTATATTTTGGAGCCTTCCTCACGGTGGGATATTGTACATATTTTTATCTCAAGTCAATGTTAAGTAGTTGTTTAAAAATACTTAATAAAATAACTCTTTTCCTGTGGAAGACGAGCGTTTGCCTCCTGCGCTGTTACATGCGGGATGGGCTGGTTCCTTGGGGCTGGGGGCATCTCTCTGCCGGCACCAGCCTCCTCCTCGGGCCCCACATGTGTCTCTGTCTGTGTGTCCATCCGTCCCCTGCCCCAGGCAGCGGCAGCTGCTGCCCGAGGGCGACGTGGACGTTGGGATGTTTCCCTGCAAATTTCCTCCACACTCGGAGCTTTTCCCAGTGGGCTGGGGCTGCCAGGGAGAGCTGACGCTTTCCCACGTTTCGCAACTGCCCGTTCCCCTGGAAAGCGACCCAAAAGCGGGGCGGGGGGGTGGCGGAGACACGCGGCACGGCGCAGACGAGTTCCCCAGACTTGTTTTCACGGTCTCACCCAGCTCTGACCTGCCTCCGCTGTTGACACAATGTCACGTTTCCGACTGCAGCCTTTCATGTGCAGCCGGAGGCTAAATGCGGCTGCCGGGTCCTGGAAAAAGACGTGCCTGGCACCGGCTCAGCAGAAACCCGCGCCCCG